AACATATTATTTTATTGTGTGTATACATAATCTCTCTCTCTTTATGTTATTGATTTATTCGATATATATATTTATTTATATTTCTAAAATAATGTTTAATGATACTTATTTTAAACGTCCTCACACTCGCGCTCCTATTGGCCAGCGCTCCAACACATCGCATGTGATTGGCTAAGATAAGAAGTACTTTATTGATCCCAATTCAAGAAATAGATATTTAATTCATATTTATTTATTTAGGGCTAGAATAAATCTGATAGAGGAACATCTCTGATACCAGTTTAAACATGATAATAACTCTCTCCCTCTCTCCATATCTCTGTCTCCCTCTCTCTCTCTCTCTCTCTCTCTCCCTCTCTCTTTCTCTCTCTCTCTCTCTCTCCCTGTCTCTCTCTCCCCCAGGTTTACTCAGAATCTGTCCGTTTTCAGACGTGAAGTGAACGACAGCATGAAGAACTCAACGTACGGCGTTAACAGCAACGATATGATGAGCTGACATTCCCCCCATCAGACTGACCCCCTCCCATCTACCTGCATCCCCCCCCATGGGCCCGGTGCTCACCTGTCACCTGTCCCCCCCTCCAAACGCTGGTTAAACTCCACCCCCCTCCTCTTTTTGATATAAGCATATATAAATATATACAGATCTATTTTAAAGCGATGGTCTAAAAACGCGGGGGGAGGAAAGGGAGGAAAAAGGGGGAGGAAATGTGGGGTTGAAAACGTAAGTAATCTGCTTTCTGCCTGCCTTGTATAGAAAAACCCCGGAAAAAAACCCAAGTGTACATTTTTTTTCGTAACATTTTGAACAATGTTTATAATGATCGAATTTAAAAACACACAGGAGCGTCGTCGAGGAAAAACCACAAAAATCAAAATGACAAAAAAAAAAAAGTGTGATTGAGCTTTTTACAGTGTAGTGAGTTAGTGGGGGGGGGGGACAAACAGGAAGTCAGAGCATCCATGTTGTACATTTTACTGAAGTCTCTGGAGGAAGTGATGTAAATACACGGGGGGCAATTAAAGGGACGGCATCGACTCTTAAAGGGATACTACACCTTTAATGATCACCAATAAACATCCTGCAAGAAACCATCACTGCGTCTGAAATCCAAAACACACGATGTTACGTTTCAGCGTGGTGCAACAACAACAACAAAAACAATCTTGACAATTTTTGAGGTGAAGTGTTCCTTTAATGCGTGATAACTCTGCTTTCCTGCAGTAATCTGTGGCAGTGAACGCAGCACGAGCCTCTTCCAGATACATTTTTACAGAAATAATTTCAAACACTAATTAAAAATAATCCACTTTATATAAATATACACATCTGGAAGTCCTCTTTAAGTGATGAGAATACATAAATTATGGAGCCGGGGGAGGAGCTAATCTATACGATTATTAATATTCTGAAAATACACTTTTGGTTAAAATAATAAAACAAAATTCTCTCGCGTTTAAGTCAGAAATTTGACAAAAAAACGTGGGTATTCTCTAAGAATAAATTAAAATCTCTTCTCTTCCACATTTATTAATGACTTGAATCTCTGAGAATATCCCACATTTGTTTTTACCTTAACCCAAAAAAATACCAAGTTGTTTCTCTTTCATTCACAGCTTCACTCACGGGAACGTCACAACTTTAATATCGGAGAATAATCAAGATTTTTCTAATAAATTCCCTGAAATAAACGGAATAAATCTACCAGAAACACACACACGCACACAGGCACACTCACAGACACGTACAAGACACACACACACTCAAACACAGTCTCTCACACACACACAAAAAGAAATCTTTTTCTCAAGTAAATCTACGAGAAAACGTGGACATTATCTATTTTTTTGCTCGTAATTGTACCTTTTTAATCCCATAAACTCCTAAATATTCTCTCAGATTATCCCCTCTCCAAGCTCCATATTTTATATATTTATTATTTACCTAACACCGCCCGAACACTGCTCCGTAAAAGTGGCGTAAATGAAGTATATCTTGCGGCGTCTCGTCCTGATTTTTTTTTTACGAACGGACACGACGAGCGAGGTTAAAGAAAATAATCTGAATTTCCCGAGTCCCTTTTTGCGCACACACTAGCATGTTTATTAGCGTGTAAACACCATGGTCACGCCTTCACCCCCCCTCTGGCAGGCCGGGTGTAGTTTCCATCATCTTGTTTACACTCTGCGCTGCCCCCCCCCCTTTTTTTTTCTTTTTAAAGTCTTTTTGGTGTGTGTGAGTGTGTGTGTGTGTGTCATGGTGCTGCGACCCCCTCCCCCAGATGGACAAAGTAATAAAGATGGAGGGGCTCCTTTTGAAGGACGTTTAGTTTTAAATGTGTGCAGCGTGGGAACCGTGTAAAAAATCTGTTAGCAAAACGTGTGTTACTCTCTACGATTTCGCTGCTAACCGTTACCGTGACAACTAGCTCATTTCTAACCATGTCCGCACTCATGGATGTTTATTGAGTTTCTAATTCTTTGGTTTGTGTCCTGATGTGAATGTGTTGGGTCCATAGAGTGAATAGAGTTGTTTGGATGTCTGCTACATATAGTGTAAGCATTGTGACTGCAAATAAACCTCATTGATTTTTACCTCTCTCTCTGTTTGTTCAAGAAACTAAAAATATTAGGAGTGTTGTATTTCTGTTATGGCCCCTGAAGGCAGCATCTCCCTCGTCCAATAAGATTCCTCTGTGTGATGTGATTTTAGATTGTTAGAAAATAATCTAAATGTTTAGGATTCTTACACGTTTAGTTCAGCAAGATAATCTCCACACCACAGCAGGGTCACATGACTTCACGTCACCACCGCTAAGCTAAAGGTGGCTAATGTTGGGCTATAAAGGAACTACAGCACGGTCACATGACTTCACGTCACCACCGCTAAGCTAAAGGTGGCTAATGTTGGGCTATAGAGGAACTACAGCACGGTCACATGACTTCACGTCACCACCGCTAAGCTAAAGGAGGCTAATGTTGGGCTATAAAGGAACTACAGCACGGTCACATGACTTCACGTCACCACCGCTAAGCTAAAGGTGGCTAATGTTGGGCTATAAAGGAACTACAGCACGGTCACATGACTTCACGTCTCCACCCCTAAGCTAAAGGAGGCTAAAAAGGAACTACAGCCCGGTCACATGACTTCACGTCACCCCCGCTAAGCTAAAGGTGGCTAATGTTGGGCTATAAAGGAACTACAGCATGGTCACATGACTGAAATACTGTGACTTTTTTTAAAGCATCTTAACTAAATCCAGATTTTCATCATGTAATAAACAGTCTGAAACGTTCAGTAAAATTCTTCTGACTTTTTATTTGTGGTTACAGGCAAGCAAAATTAAAATTAAAACTTTACAGTAAATACAAAACGTGTCCAAACATCACGAGGCTGTTTCAACAGACCTGGTTTCGATGAGGATTTAACAACGGAAAACGGATCTCGTCTAATAAAAGTATAACTTAAATCTGCAGCTCGGGACACAGCGACCCTTTCAGTTTGTTTCCTGGAGGGACGTCTTTGTGAAAAAGGATTTATTCTGGTGTTTTCTACGATTCGCTCTTTGAAGATTTGGACGTGAACACGACGTCGTTGCAGCCTTCTTTGTTTCGGGCGATTTCAATGGCGAAGAACTGAACCCTGGTGGCTGCAGACAGGAACATACGAAAGGTTAAACAATGAAATGGAAGCTTGTGTTTCATGCATTTCCCATTATGGATGAAGCAACGTACCAAATATAGTGTTGTCCTCGGTGTAATCTCTCTCACAGTCGAGTCGCAGCAGAGTGCCGTAGTTAAAGTCTTCTATAAGGCCTTGAAACTGGTTACAGAACGGACGCCACACCTGCACAGATAGATTACTGTCAATCACACATCCATGAGTAAGTCAGAGTAAGTTATCTGTATAATAAGATCTAATTCTAGCATGTCGAAACAAATACACATTAACCTTCCCGCAGGCTCACTGACCTCCTTCATCTCCTCAGACTTCAGGTCGTCAGGGTTCAGTTTCTTTATGTCCAGGTCTTTGAACGTCTCTCTGAAGATCTTGTAGATATCGTCGTCGATCTTCGTCAGTTTCAAGAACTTCGGATCCACGGAGGAAATCAGCTGAAGAGAGAAGAAGAGATTCAGATCATCCTTTAAAAATAACTGTTATTACATATATCAGTATGTAGTGTCTCTCATTTAAAGAGTCCTCTCCTGCTGATGTTCAGGTGTATATCAGTATGTAATGTCTCATTTAAAGAGTCCTCTCCTGCTGATGTTCAGGTGTATATCAGTATGTAGTGTCTCTACTTTAAAGAGTCCTCTCCTGCTGATGTTCAGGTGTATATCAGTATGTAGTGTCTCTACTTTAAAGAGTCCTCTCACGTTGAAGTAAACCTCTGCGTGGTTGTAGGCCTTCATCGCCCACAGGACCTCCAGTTGAGGCTGAAAGAAGAAAACAAAAGGTGTTTTTAAGTTCATTTATTTTAAAAAGTGTGAAATAAAGAGCACATCTGTCTCAAAGTGGGTCAACAAAATGATGTTTGTGTTTTAATGTACAAACTGCTTTCTGGTTTTCAGATATGAATACTTTTGTCTCATTTTAGAGTAAATTAAATATATATTTGGGTTTTTTGGAGAAAGAAACATACATTATCATTAATATCCAGATGTGCTTTAATTAAAGATTATTTTAACAGTATGTTCAAATTAAACATGACTTCTACTTCCAATATTTGACTCCTTAAGATAAGATATACTTTGTTATCACATGGCTTAGTTGAATACTCGATTCTGATTGGTCAATTCAGAACACGTGACACGTTGTTAAGGAGGCAGAAAGAAGTCCGGTCGATTTAACTGTTTCCCGTTGTCTCCCGTCTGAGAGCAACATGGAGGATTTTTATATATTTGGAGAGCACAGGATGAATGCTTAGTGGCTGATGAGTCCCCAGCGAAGAAAAGAAAAAGACAAGAGGGACAAGAAAACAGCGGAGAAGTAAGAGAGACGGACCACATTATGAGCTATGGAACTATTGAAAGACTAGCTGGTCAGCTACAGGGCAGAAACTCTCCTTTTTACTCAGCGGTCCAGACATAGAAATCAAACGGCGACACATATTCAGTGTGCAGTTCCTTTGGCATCAGGGCAGGGATATCTAGATACTTCCAAGGTTTGACTTCATGACTTGTGCTGCTTTAAACGATGTTTTCAAATCTAATCAAAACGCTATCGAAGCAGTTCCTGCCGTTGATACGTAGTTCAAACAGTAACAACGGACTATTTCTCTTAGCGGATGCATGTCAATTTAAATCAATAAAAGCATTTTAATTAATATTGGGAGTCATGTCGTTACTTTGTTGAGAATGTGGTCGTGTGATGAGCAGCGAGGCGGTCGTTATGGAGAACGCCTGTCGGGTGTTCTTTCCCCCGATGACCGCCTCGCTGCACATCACCCCTTACCTAATCAGCAGCATGTAAAACAAGTATTGCTCATAATTAGAAACAATAAAAAGAATATAAAATTATTCAATATAAACATCTAAAAAATGTAAACTATCCGACAAATACATCTTAAATTACAGCTTACACAAAATACAAGTGGGATATTATTTACATTTACGCAGCGTCCACACGGCTTGCCGATGGGCGTGTCTGAAACTCGACCAACAACCAATCACATGAATCTCCCGCCCCCGACACACAAGCACGCGGTTTGATTGGCTAGAGCTTGTACTTTCATATGATTTGACCTGGCTGACGCTCCCGTCGAAGCTTCAAAAGTTGAACATTGCTCAACTTTTGAAGCAACGCAACGCGAACACTCCCACAATGCAGTTCGGCAAAGCGTGACGTCACCCCATTCAAAGTGAATGGGCAGAAGCGTTGAAGCTTCAACGCACGCCGCCGTGTGGACGGGCCATTAGCGAGCAAGAATGACATACTAAACTAGAGAATGCAATTCCTGAAGAAATTGCTAGTGGGAATGCTTCATGCTGAAAAGCTGACTCTAAACTGCTATGCTGAAATGTAATGTGTAAGAAGAAAGTAAAGAATTGAGATTGAAATGATACATGAACACTGGGGGCTTGAATGTGTGATGAGAGAAGAAAAGAAAAGAAAAAGGCTTGGAAAAGCAGCAGAATATTTGAACTGCAAACTTCTGAACTAACTTGATGGCGAATGATCTGTCGCCATGCCAACGGCATTTGATGACATCCCATAATACGCTTAGATGCGTTGATGGCTGCATCGTTACCAAAACTGTGAAATTTTGGGGCGTTTGGAGCATTTTCACTGAAGTTATGAGAAAACCGTGTTTCAAGGCGAGCATTGTGTTGCCATGGCAACGGCATTTGAAGAAATCTCA